TGTAGCACTTAGGGTTTTTTAAATTATTAGTTAATGACCTTATTTCTAAAATTGTACTTCTTTAAACGATACTTTGCAAAAGCAAGCATGTACTGCTCAAATGGTTTCAGTGAATTACTCAGCATAAGATAAAACAGTTGCTTGGATTGGGAGAGGTCAACAGGATGCCAAGAAATGGTCTGCTGAGATGGGAAGGCCACATGGCTAAGTTAGATCTTCTTAATGCAGACTGTAGTAGTGATTGTGAATGAAATGGTAGCATATGAGCTGAATTAACTGTGCTTTAATAATTTAAAACTGAATAAAGTATTCATCTTCATGGCAGATTTTGTAGTTAAAAAACTATATAAATTTTATCCATCCATGTTGAGTGGTTCCATATTAAACCTGTGATTCCCATTTCTGACCAGCGCATGGGCACATGGGCACTTTTGGCTGCTCCTGCCTTTGTCCATCACAGCACAAGGCTTCCACCTGGCCAGCCACATGGGCTTAGGATAAGAGCAAAGAATCCAATCTTGCCTGTATTTGAAGTTTTTGCTTTTAAAAAAAAAAAAAGTAAGAATTTAATTATATAAGGGAGAGGACTGGCAAGTTATAGCTGTGATGGAAAGCATAATGGAGAAAAACTGTTTTCTTTTGACATGGGCACTGTCAAGCCAGCTGGGGAGGAAGCTATCATGTGCAGTGACAAGCTGAACCTATCGGGACTCCTTTGTGGCATGCTGACTTGTTAAAATCAGTGTGTTCTGAATGAAGGAGAAAAGAAACTGATAGCTAGTGTAGATGAAATGTTGGGAGGAACTGGTTATTTTGATTTGAGAAAGCCGGTGTAAGGTTATATGAAGTGATTTAACATGGGATAGTTATCAGAGGCCAAAAGCACACTATTTTACAGGAATGTTCCCTTGCACTGCTCCATTGCTAGCATATACATAGGCTGAACTTAGACTTACCACTTGCCTTGGTGCCTGAGATAAAAGAACCCATGACATAAGGGATAGCAAATATTCATTTAATTCCTCTATTACATTATAAAATAAAATTAAAAACTTCGATTAGGGAAGCAATTTGTGGCATTTTAAAGGTGTTAGAAAGACATAAAATTGTGCACGTTTAGCTCTAGTATTACACTCCTGTAATGAATACATTACGTAGCTAGATGACCTTTTAAGGGCAGATTTTTCTTGCATGGAATTGATGATCAGATAATTTTTCTAGAATAATGATCTGTTAGGTCTACTTGGAAATACAGCTGTGCTTTGTAAACTTATTTCCTCTTTTCATTCTAGGTTAGAGTGGTCTGTGCTTCAGCCACAGGCAGAGAAATAAACAGCAATCTGTGCTGCAGCTTCATATCACTCAGTTACCTCTTCCAGTCATTACTTTTAATGAACTGTGTGTTTCTGGATTAAGCAATAAAGATAGATGATTAGGGGAGACTGTGTGCTGAATCATGCAATGTTACTACTATGCTTTGCTCAGTGGAATAATCAAGAAACTGGCTGAGTGGGGAAGAACAATTTGTTATTTAAAAAAAAACCAACACCAAAAAAAACACAAACAAACAAAACCCAACAACACAACAAAACCACCAAAAACCTGATGGAGTAAGTCAAGTGTCACTGTTCTGTGAGGAAGAGTGGATAACTGATCTGTTAACACAGATGAGAGAATAAAACACCTGGACCAGCTCTATCTTTGTAAGAAATCTGGAAGAGACCATTTTCTATTTTTCCCCTCTGTAATGTTTGTGACACCCAGGATGGTGTCTCCAGCTCTTCATTGAGGGGTAAACATGTAAAAAGCTATTTTGGAAGAGGAAAGAAAGAATTGTGTGTCTGGGAGATACAATAAATGTGAAGAAGTTTACCTGTTTAAATCAGTAGAAGGATTAAGATTATATAATGACTACAGTTTGGAAAAAAATACTTGTGTATGATTTATGGAAATAGCTGTAGCAGTATTCAATATTTTTCTTTAACTAAATAATCTCTTTTTTTAATTTAATGATGATTGTAATATGTTATGTGTTTACCTTCTACAGCTGTATTTCTGCAAAAGTGTTACATCTCATGACCATTTTGTACCTAACACAATAATGCACTTCAGGCCAGTTTTTCCAAAGTAATGAACATTCCCACGAAGTGAAAAGATCTGGTCCCATGTTATGCATTTTATATCCTGCTCTGATTGTTCTTATTCTTTTTATTTAATACAGTCATAGGTGATAGGGGATTCATGTTTTCCTCACACTGGCAGTACATTCATTACAAGATGGCTTAAGCAATGTAAGGGCATCCAAGGAGTTTGTTCATGTGAGTAACTATGCTCAGCTTAATTTATAAATTTTTAAAGCCTCCCAAATACCTATGTGCTGAACACAAAAGATGTCCTAAAACAGTATCATAAATCTGCTCAGAGTGACTACAAGTCTGGGAATGAAGCCAACCACATAACAGTGGATGCAACAACAGAACAAAAACACAGATCTGGATCTCAGACTAAAAAAACAGTTTTTCTAACCTCTTCATCAAGACATAATCACCTGAAGAGAACTGCCTTTGCAATGACGTATGTTTGCACAGAAGGCTGATGAGTCAGAAAAATGAGCGTTCAAGACTAGCTTTCATCAAAATAAAATTTAAGACAGGAGCCAGATTTCCCAATGTACTGTGATAGTCCTAACCTCCTCTAATATATGGCTGATCCTACTTCTGATCTTAATAAAGAGACTTCTGGACTTCTGACTCTTGTTTAAGAAGTGAGTAATGAATACTCTGACCAGGACTAGAGGGGCCCTGCCTCCATCCCGGTGGAGGAAGGGGGCAACCGGGTTTACTGGACTGTGGATTCAATGGCCTGGCACATCACACCCACAGGACTACAAGGCTCTAGTGCACATTGGTGCACAGTGTACCCTAATGCCATCAAGCTGTACAGGGGCAGAACCCATCTTTATGTCTGGAGTGAATCCATGGGATTGCTTTTGCTCAAGGACCTGGGTCCACTTGGTGGGTAACGTGGAAGGATGGGGAAGTCCGATGTGTACCACAAGGGGATTTGATTTCGGGTAAAAATAGCCAATTAACTGAATGGTATAATGTTAATCATACAACACTGTATGTCATCACCACTATGGTTGCTATATACCCTATCAATGGTATTACAATAAGAATCACCCAGATTAATGAAGAATGAACTTTGATGAAACTGAAAAGTGCAGCAATGGTAGAACCAGACAAGTACAGTGGTGATGGAACCAGAACTGGCTTCAGCATGCAACAATCCAGCACAACACACCACCTCTCCTGCCCTGAAGGACTGTTATGAGAGACAGAGCCCAAAGTCATAGACTAAATTAACTCAACAGACATTTTAGAGGGATGGCCTATAGACTTAGGGGATGATATCTGTGTATATATATCAAAATACAGGAAAGGTCATGGTAATTAATTGGGATGTATTGGAAAGTATGGAACCTGGGCATCATGTAGATGGTATAGAATAAGGAGTGGATATTGTCCTGGTTTTGGCTGGGATAGAGTTAATTTTCTTCCTAGTAGCTGGCATAGTGCTGTGTTTTGGATTTAGTATGAGAATAATGCTGATAACACATTGACGTTTTAGTTGTTGCTGAGCTGTGCTTACACTAAGTCAAAGACTTTTCAGCTTCTCATACTGCCCTGCCAGCGAGGAGGCTGGAGGTGCACAAGAAGCTGGGAAGGGCCCCAGCCAGGACAGCTGACCCAAACTGGCCAAAGGGCTATTTCATACCATATGACATCATGCTGAACAAAAAACTGGGGGGAGTTGGCTGGGGGTGAGGGGCAGCTGCTGCTTGGGAACTGGCTGGGCATTGTTTGGGGGGTGGTGAACAATTGCATTGTGCATCACTTGTTTTGTATATTCTTTTATCATTATTATTATTTTCCCTTCCTTGTCTGTCCTATTAAATTGTTTTTATCTCAATGCACGAGTTTTACCTTTTTTACGATTCTCTCCCCCATCCCACTGTGGGGAATGAGCAAATGGCTGTGTGGTGTTTAGCTGCCTGCCAGGTAAAGCACGACACTAAGGAAAGCAAATGGCTGAATTTTAGAGTATTTTTTGTCTTCTCTACTCATATTATTCCCATTTAATGTCAGAATTCAGACCTGTGGTCTACTGGCATTGACATTAATTATTGCTCAGTTACTCATATGAGGGAAAAAAAGAGTATTTCATCCAAGTATCTAACCTGTTCCCATGTAAGTATTTGTATTCACATGGCACTTACAGTCTCTAAGTGAGCTCAAGGCCTCATTTAATTAGCAGTGTATATGTATTAAAATACCAATAGGTATTAATGCATGTGCACATTTTCTAAATATACATATATATACACACACAAACACATTTTAATGATATGACATCTGTCCTTAGAGTCTAAACGGTCGAGAGAAATAAAGGTGAGGAGAAAGAAAATATTTTCCCTGAATGAAAATAGGTAGAGAAAGCTTAACTGAATTTTTGAAGTATAAGTCATGCTGAGGAGACAGGATGGCAGTAGTGTTCAACATGTCTGTGATGCACCCAGTGTTATTTTTTTTCAACAGGTTCTTCCACTGCTACAATATTAAGAAACTAAGGATATTTCTGCAACTTTTTCTTTTACATTCTCATTATACTTCCTGTAGAATTTTTGAGGGAGAGGGAATAGATAATCTAAGAGAGAGAGAGAGATAACACTCTAATATCCAGTTGAAATAAAAAGAAAGTGGCAAAAAAAAAAGACAATGAAGTCATAAAGCAGAAAATGAAAGTGGTAAGTGTCAAAAGCATACACAAGGGGGAAAACCTTAAAAACCAAAAAATGATGAAAGAAAACTTCTCCTACAGAATAATTAAATTTCAAGATTTTGAAGAAACAGGAGCCTACGAATGACCTTCAAAGCATCCCAGCCTGTCTCTCAGAATTTATACACAGGAAAGGAGGAACGTAAGAGCTTATCTTTACCATGAATGCATTTGGCTTGATACAAATTGGCCTCCTACTGTTGTGCACCACCACCATCTCCAGTCTTCAGTGTAACCACCTTCCTTTACAGCAAAGAAAAGTGATTGAGAACAGCCTGCAACTTTTGGACAAAATGGGCAAAAAGTTTCCTCAACAATGTCTAAGAGAGAAAATGTCCTTCAGATTTCCTGAGCAGGTTCTAAAGCCCAGACAGAAAGAGACTGTCAAAGTGGCCATTGAAGAGATCTTCCAACATATCTTCTATATCTTTAGCAAAAATCTGACTCTAGCTGCTTGGGATGGGACAGTTTTAGAACAATTCCAAAATGGACTTTATCAACAAATTGAGCAATTGGAGGCTTGTGTAATCAAGAAGCAGACCCACTACTTTCGGAGTAAAGAAGTTAACAGGCTGAAACTGAAAAAGTACTTCCAAAAAATAGACTGTTTTCTTAAAGACAAACAACACAACCTGTGCTCCTGGGAGATCAGCCGTGCAGAAATGAGGAGATGTCTTCAACTGATTGATAAAGTCATAAGGAAGCTTAACAACTAAGGTACAAAGATTTTGACTTGGTATAACTTAGCTTTAAAAGTATTGTTATTTATTCTATGATCTATCTTGTGGCAGTGCTTCTAGTTCATTTTGATTGTATTTAAATAATTATGTTGCTGAAATTTATTTTTGCAAATGTAATGCATTATCCAATGTAAGTAAATTTTTCCCTTGGTAAGCAAGGTGTCTACATTAGCTATAGATTAATCTGTATGACATTTCAGTGAGGGTTAGTCAATAGGAAGGGATTGTAATATTACTACATCCTATGGTGTTTTCTACTAAGAAAATGTTCTGCTACTTTCCATCTCTATTTCACCCAGACACAGAGAACCATATATTGGTGAATGGAGTATGCATCCCTCACCTTGCAGCAATTGCTATATTTGTACTGATTGAGACTGCATCAAAAGTAAAGTAGTATATTGTTTATTTAAGTGGTCCTAGCTTAGGTTGAGACCATCCATTAATCTTTCAAAAGTTTGCATGCTCTTTTCCAAGAATATATGGGCTTTTTTTTTTTACATTTGAGTCATTCTAACATTTGCTTTGTTCAAAGAGGTAAAGTAAAGTAATTCTAAAAGGATTTGTCTACATAGGATATTGTTTGCAGTAGCTATGGCTTCTGCAATAACTTCTCAGTTGGACATTGTTACTTTCAATAGAAATATCTCTGCCTCCTCTATCTATCTGGGGGAGAGGCTTTATTTCCTTCCTGTTGTGTTTCTAATTCACTTTAACTTTTTTCACAAGTTTACTTGAAACAACTTCTCTATATAAAAGTACCCTAAAGCCACATCTGCCTGTGGCACATCCTACTCGCTCATGGACATATTCATCCTGGCTACTGCAATCTCAAACATCACCATTCACTGCCGTGTTTTATTGCTGCATGAAATTTTCTGCCTCTTGCCCTTTGCTCACAAATTGACTGACAGAAACCTATAGCCCTTGGTATTCCAATGTATTTCCCCTTCAGACCACATAGCCTTGAGAAATAATTGCAATATAATCAAATTCTTTAAAACAACTTGCAACAAACTGGGCAAAATTCGACTAATTTCTGTGAGGTCAAACCCGGATTTTACCCTTGGGAAATTGTCCCTGGGTAATTCCACTTCAAATGGTTATGTTTTCCCTAGTCACTTGCTGTACGTTAGTAAGAGGGAAAAGAGAGTTATATCCAGGCTCTGTTACATAATGAATATTGGTAAAAATTTGGGGGGGGAAAGAAAAAAAAGCAACCTCCAAAAAAAAGGTATTTCCTGTGGCCAAGGCTGATGTACATTTGGCACGAGCTTCTGGGTCTGGCATAAAGAAACAGAGGAGAGAGAGCATGGCTGTGGCTCCCAAGAGAGGGTGATGTTAGTCCCAGAAGGCTGAAACTGCTGGAGGTTGGTTTAAGCATCAGGTAAGGAACCACTTTAAAGCATTCCCTGATCTCCAGCCATTCAGAGTAGTATCATTCAAAGGGGTGATAATAAAAAGGTACATCTAAGGAAAAAATTCACTGGTAAGACTAATAGCAATGGTACACCAGATCTCAGGTACCATATCTATGATACAGGTCTCTTTTGCAGGGTGTACACACTCTCCTCTCTACCACTGATGGATGCAAGCTAAAGAAGCTATGAGAGACATGGGTAACAGGTCTGAAGCTGAAATACCAGAAATAAAACCAGCTAACAACTTCACCATGATCCTGAACAACAGAAAAGACCAAAGAAACAGAGCAAAGCATCAGAGCCATTTTTCCGCCTGGTGACACCTGCCACAATGTTACAGCAAAATGTGTATTTCTTGGGCTTTGTAACAGTGCTTGAAATGGCCTCATTGTGAGACTGTTTCAAATCTTATTTCTGCTGCTTGTTTGGTTTTTGCACTTCTTCAAGCCTGTACAATAAAAGGACATTCAGCCTACTTACGTTTCTGGTTCTGATACCCTAGGTGGCTTCTGCAATGCAGTAAACTCTTGAAATAGCCTCATTTTTACTGAAACTTGGCAATAGCATGAAATATTTTCAGCTGCTCTCTCATGAAGGATCCCAGTTTTTATTGCCTCTTGTGCCTGTGGCAGGCATATGTTAATTCATGGCCCACTAGTTGTTCAGAAACTCTCATACCATTAAGCTTTCTTTTTAGTTCATAACTATCCTTAAAAATCTCATCACCAAATAAAAATATGTTTTGACATATTTCAGTCAACAGGGTACTTTGCAGTGCAGAAAAAAAAAAACCAGAACGGGCACTAGAGGGCAAAGTGAGATTATAGACAAGTGTAAGAATTGTAGGTGAATGTACGTGTGTTTTGGCAAGACAGTGTTTCAGCTCTTTATGAACATGCTGCTTATCAATAAACTGCTATTGGGTTCACAGAAGGGAATTGAAAGAACAATGAACTGTTCTTGAAAGAACAAAGAAGATCTCAGAGATGATGGACAGATGTTCATAAACCAGCATTTGACTTCAATTACTTTTTGGGCAACTGTGAGGTAATAGAAATTATTTGTACTGAGACAATTTAAAGTCCATTAAAAGACCCATTTAAAGATGGGGACCCTGGAACACACATTGTTGCTGAACAAACAAAAAGGAAAAAGAAATTAGCAAACCAATATATCTTTGTTTTATTCTCACTTTTTAAAGAAAGGTAAAGAGTTTTTAAATTGAAGGAAGAAATCTGAAGAGTCAGAAGATCCTCTTCTCCTTGCCATTGTAACATTTTGGAGCAATCTGTATTTCATCACCATCGTGTTACAAGGTCAGCTGTATATTATGCCTCTGACTAACTGAAACCCTCTGGTATTTCTTCCAGTCAGTATTTTTCTAGAAGTTAAACAAATGTAGCAAAATACGTTTTTCAACATACATTATTTTCAAATGGAAGCAAAATAGTGAATGTGAAATCTCAAATCCTGGTCGAAAATTTAACATAGATGAAACAAAATCCTTCCAAGATGGGACTGCTTGTAGGCCAAAAGGTTTCATGAACTTTCTCACAGGACTCAGGTACCAGTGCTGTGCAGCACAGGTCCCAGTCACAGTTGTGGCTGTTCTCATGGCTAGTCTCACAGCACCTTGTTTACACGTGCTGTGCTTCACTTTTTGGGAAACTGCACTGAAATTGATGTGGTTTCATCTATGCAGAGTCTGTTTTCTGGAGCGGATGTATGGGATTGGGGTCAAACTTGTATCCCACATGAAACTTTAGAATAGCTACAGCAGAACTGAAGAATGCTTATTCCAGACTTCATTCTGGAAAAAAATTATTCACTAGTCACAGTCAACCACAGCTGTCCAAAGCAATTCTTCCATGGGTTTGGCTATTCTGTTAGACCTGGCTTTACTTCATCTTTACACTGGCGGGGGGGGGAAGCAAACCCAAAACAGAGAAAAAACCCAAAGCAAAACAGGACAAAAGCCTGTGGAAATAAGTCTCCAAACAATCATCCAGACTTAGCCCTCATTGCTAGGAAGGACAGCTGTGAACTCCTTCAGCAGCTATAGGGAAGTTGCAGTGGTGGCTGTGATGGAGCAGGCAGACCAACATCAGGGTTGAGGGGTGTGGGCTGGAGAGGTGTCACGAATACAGATTTGTGGATCCTGCGGACTACACCAGTTTGTTGCAAATACGATTTTTTACATGGCTTTGGTTAGCAGTGATTTAAGATTTATTAACATTTTGAGATAGATCACAGTATTAGGTTGTATAATTCTTAACAGCACTTAAGCATCAGCC